GGTCTCAAATGATGGCACCCAAAGTGTCAGCTGGGACTGTGGTCCGTTGATGTTCAGGCTCATTCAGGTTCTCGGGAGAACTCAGTTCCTCTCAGCTGTGAAATTCGCGTAAGCGGCCGTGTCCTTCAAGGCCAGCAGTATGTCTCTGCGGCTTTGACTCTCTGGCTTGTTTTGTCTCCGACCTCTAGACTCACATTTAAAGAACTCACCTGATTAGGTCAAGGCCACCTTGGTAATCTCCAATTTAATTAACTCAAGGTCAACAGATTAATTACCTTAATTGTATCTCTTTGCCATGTAAAGTAACAATTTCGGGAGTGATATCTCATCTTATTCAGTTTCAAGGGGAGAAGATTATACAAGAGTGAGGATCATTTAAAATGCTGCCTTTCACACTTATTTATATACACAATGAACTATACACTGTAAATGGTATTATGTAGTGTGCTTTAAAAAATTAATATGCCACAGACATCTTTTCTGTCTTATAAATGGTATTCTATTTTATGTTTCAGATAATTAATCACATATTGGCCAGTTGGGCTATTTCCAATTTTTCCTTATAAATAGAGCAAGGGTGAACATTTTTATGTACTCGCCATGACACTGCGTGATTTTTTTCCTGTGTGCAAATTCCAAGGGAAAGAGTTTACTGAATCAAAGGATAAACTTTGGTTCCAGTGCTGTGACATACTTTCAAGGGTCCCCAAACAGTACACAGTGCTGTTTTTCTAGTGAGGCTCTGCCTTTGGTGAAGACTTTCTGGGTCCTTTGTACTGAAACTGCTGAATTATTAGCGTCCTTGAGAGGCACTCCAGAACACTAACTGTCACTGCGGGACGTGTACAGAAAATAACATAAAACAAACACGTGGTCTTCACTTGTCATCTCTATCATTATCCACCCCAAAAAGTCATCTTCAACTTGATTAAATGACTCTCAGCGAAATGGGGGCTTTGTTTTAATTTCAACTGCTACAAGGCAGCGAGGAAAGTAGATCACTTTGAAGGTTTATATATTTTTTTAACTTTAAAGGGACACTGCACATTTTGATGGTATAGTGGGAAGTCTGGCTTGAAATGAAGGCTCAGAGAAAATAAAGAACTTTGAATCTTAAAAACAAACCTAGGTTTAATTACGCCTGCCCTGCGGGGAGATGTCCTCCCCGGGGCAGCTGGAGCCTGGGGAATGTGATGGTGAACAAGGCCGAGCCCCAAAGTGGCTGCATGCGCTTTACACATTTGTGATGAAACCACAGGATGGAAGCAGAACGACTATTAAGGATCTAGATAAAGAAGCGATAAAATAAGAAATGACCTTTCAGGAAGCATGTCGATTTCCCAGCCTGGAAGTAGGTAACTGGAATTCAGAAATGTCTGTAATTATAAGCCTCTTTCATGGGGGAACTTGAAATATAAAAGATAAGTATGAGTACCCGAAAAGACTTAACATCTAGCCGAAAGGGAACCCTCGTGGCATGGATGGCCCAGATCACACCTTTCCTGGCCATTGTTGAACAGAGAGTAATGCTGGAAAAAAATCCCATAGCTTCCGAGGCTGCATCTGCTTCCTCTGCTCATGGCCACGCTGGGCGCCAGCCATGGGCTTTCGATGCAGTGAGACCCAGCCCCACTGGGACTCGCAGGCAGTGGGCGGGTGGACAGCGCACGGTTAGTTCTGCCCATCTCGCCCACGGCCTACACGTTCCTGACCCTCTTATTAAACTCGTCCACCCTAAATATACAAATAAGGTCTGGGTCAGAGGTTACAGTGGAAGAGATCACAAATAGCTAGTTAGATATCATAATGAGAGAAAAGAAAGCTCTCCCTATCCTGGTCATCTGAAGATAATATTATCCTCAAATAAAAGTTTATACCTGAGACCTTCGATGCAAAGCTTGTTATCCTGTTCAAGGCTTACCCTGAGATATTTAAATGTAAACAAGGAGATTCTGGGACCTGTTCATCTAGGATGGTGGTGTATTGGTGAAAGCCAGGGTTGGCGAACTGCACACGTTGTGTAGGAAGCAGGACGGTGTCCATGCGGGATTGAAAATGTTTCACTGCCATGTTTTCCGGATCTCTCTGCCTGGTGGTTCAACCTTCACCATTCTAAAGGGAGGCTAGCAGTCATTGTTTAATATGGTGACCTTTCTCCAGCTTCCGAGCTTAGAGGCTCTCAAGTGGAAGCAACCTCCTGTCCTGCCCCAACACCTCCATACCTGACCCTGGTCTACGTCTGCACCTCCCTCCCCACAGACAGCGCCTCGCGCCCCACCCCTGTCGGTGCAGCTCTTAGCCTCTCGCCCCTTGGTACCAGAGCCTCCTTTTCCCATCTCTATTCTTTCTTTCTTTCTTTTCTTCTTTCTTTTTTTATTCTCACCTGAGGATTTGCTTTTATTGATTTTGTAGAGAAAGAAAAACATTGATGTTAGAGAGAAACACAGATTGGTTGCCTCCCCTTCTCACCCCAACAAGGGATGGAGCCCACAACCTAGGCATATGCCCTGGCCAGGAATCGAACCCCCAACATTTTGGTGTATGGGACGACACTCAAACTGAGCCACCCGGCCAGGACTCTTTTTTTTTTACTCTTTCTTGGGTGTATTTTTTTCCTCTACAAGTATGATGATCTTTCCTAATACAAAAAAAAAGCAAAACAGTCTTCCCTGAATTGCATTATTTCTAGGCATTGCCTTGTTTTCCCTTTTTCCTTCACAGTCTAGATCACTTTTGGAGAGAAACCTACAGTGCATCTCTCCCCTTCCCACTCACTCCTCATCTGGCTCTTACCCTACTCTCCATCACCAGCAAAGACGCAGGACTTCCTCCTCATCAAATCCTGAGTCACATGTGTGTATAAAAATGCCTCTTGGATTTCGTCTCCTGGGTTTTCCACAGGCACTCAAGTTCATCATGTCCAAAATGAACTTGTCACCCACCCAACACCTCCCCCTTCAACACCAACCTTCTTCCCTTCCTCCTCCGTTCAGTCTTGGTAGGTGGAAGCATCATGTTCAGCAGAGATATGAAAGCCTTCCTCAATCATCTCTTCTCTCATGTCTCCATAAGCCATCAGCGGACCCTCCCAATGGCTCCTCTCCCTCCTCACCTCGATGGCCACCTCTTTAGCAAACAAAGTTTTGGTGCATTGCAATTATTGCAGTATTTGGGTGGTGGGGGTAACTTGGCTCAGCCTCCCATATTGCCTCTTCACACACCCTTCACAAATATAGAATTGCAAACTTAAGTTTCCCAAGAATAAAGCCCACACGTCTAATTTGGAATAAAAGTATCTCACAACCCCATCCTTACCCCTAGCCTAATTTAGTGTTTAAGAGCACGAACCCTGCAGTTCTATTACTAACTAGCTGTGTGTGACCTCAGGCAAGAGTCTTAACCTCTCTGTGCTCCAGTTTTCTCCCTTGTAACTGGGGATAATAAATCACAGTGCCCTTCTGGTAGGCGTTAGGAGCGTCCACTGTGTGACTGTACAGGAAGGTTTTAGAACGGTGCCAGGCGCACAGCAAGTGTCATGCATATTTGTCAGTGTTGTGATCTACTGCCCACCCTCACCTGCCGTCCCTCTTCTCCCATGGACAGATGTGCCAACACGCTCCCTGCAGCCTGCGACAGCATGCAGGTCCCCGTACACTAGTTCATGCCTCCACAACTCTGTTCTTACACCTTGTGTTGACCTGCTAAACTTCAGGACCCAGTTCAAACATCACTTCTGCTGCGAAGCCTTCCCCTGTGCCCTGAGTCTCCCACTGAGACCTGTGGCACCCCAGATGAATTCCCATGGTAGCACGCGTCCCATCAATTCTTTTTACAAGTCTGAGAGTTACTGTTTTTGAGCACCTATCCCAAGCCAGACACAGAAAGCTCTGCATGCAGTATCTTGTTTAAGCCTCACAGCAAACTTATGAAATCTTTGAACAATTGGTTTACGTGTTCATCATTTCTCCTAGATTGTGAAGCCATTTATAAGCAAAAACCTATGTTTTGACCTTTGTCGCATCTCCTGTACCTAGCATGGTGCCAGACACATAATGGGAACATAGTTAAATAAGCACCTCTGAATTGGGCCGATCAAAGTTGAGCTGCACTCGGAGACGGGAACGTGCACCAATGACTACGGCTGAAGGACCTTTTTGGATCTGAAACTCGGCAGTGCCATAGTCAAAGACTGAGGCTGCGACCTCCCCCGCCGTTAAACTTACTGCTGTATGAATCTCTTCTGTAGTGCAGACGGGCTCACGTGCCCATTTGTTTCTGTGCCGTCATATAATTTCAGGTCTTTCCAAGGACATAATAATACAATTCATGATGACATTTTATTCCATGCTCTTGCCTTTGGGGTCATATGGAAAGTTGTGCAAAGTCTTGTTCATGGGTTGCTCACCTTTGATAAAGGGTAAAGAGACACTCACCCTGAAACCTTTCCTTCTTGTTGAACAGCAAAGGGAAATTTGCCACAAATTATAGACAATTATAGTCAGCAGTTAATGTTATAGTTTCCATGGCAATGATCTAAACCCATAAACACGGGCATCTTATTGCTTAATTGTTGTAAAGGATATGCTTTTTATAAATCTAATATACATACATATAAAAGAGACTCAAAGATGTATGTATTTTGTTTTCAGTGAACTTTTCTTTCCTCCCCCTTTAGCACGTAGGAAGCTCTGTCTCATTAGGCAGCAGAGAAGGGTTAAGATGAAACTGTAATGCACTGATTAGAAAGCTCGGGGGGCCTCGAAGCTGACATTAGCAGGAGAGGAGCAACAGCCAGCCCGGCGAGTGCCCCTGGGGGTACCAGTGGGAGTGTCTGCCAGCGAACAAGCCTGGAGCCCTGGGTCTCTGGGAGCCCTCCGTTTAGTCTAATCCATTCCAATAATTAGTAGACGGCGTATCCGCAGGATCTTTGGTCGCTTTTTAATGTTTTGGAGCTTTGAATGTGATGGGCATTTGATCTCACTGGACTGGTGTTTTCCAAGGAACTACCACTGCTGGAACGAAGCCTGGATGACGAGGCCTGATCTTCCCGTTGGGTTTGGAGGCTGGCAGGCCGTGGACAGCACCCCTCAGGAAAACAGTGACGGTAAGCCTGCGTCCTCCCTCAAGAACCTGTCCACTGCCCGTCTTCGCTTCGCCCTGCGATTGCACTCGGGGGGGACACTCCCCGTGGGCCCACGTCAGAAGCACGCTCCCTGCACACACGTGCAGCATTGACCACCTGCCAATCAGCTTTCATTTCAGTTCAATGGTTGGCTTTACCCTGATTATTTTATAACTTTTAGAAAAAGAGCATAAAGCGTAGCATATATAATTCATCTGCTCCTGCTTTGATAAGCAGTTTTGAAGACAGGAGAAAAGTATCTGTGTAAGCACTTTAACTAGGCTATAAAACATACTCCACCCTCCCTGGAACAGTGGTAAGAAATGAGGCAGAGGAGAAAATAAAGGGCTAAAAAAATTGGTGTTTATCCAGACCCTAATTTTTTTTTTATATTATTCGATTTCTTTCAAAACTTTAGTATAAGGGTATTTGCTGTCTAACTTGTAGACTGTGCTGGGCAGAGTGGCGTCTGTGACCTCCCGGGATTTTTATAAAGTCACAGCATAAGCCTCCATTAATCTCTAATATGATGATAAAAGGTGGTGGCCCGGGACATTGCCTTGATTTCCTCAGGTATGTGTGTGTATACACATATACGTAGACATTCATTGCACATTTACAAGAGAATTTTAGAAGATTCTAAGGGAGAGCATTCAACATTTTCTGGTGTTTTGGATTATACAGGGTGGGGCAAAAGTAGGCTTACAGCTGTTCGTATGGAAAATGATACAATAATTAATAACAATACAAGAATACACTCTATGTTTCGCATACTTGCCACTGTAAACCTGCTTTGCCCGCCCTGTGTCTCGGGGAGAGTTCCGAGATGGTCAAGCTCATCACCTGGAGACCGCTGGCTACACGTTTGAACTTTGTAAATGTGAGCTCGGGCCTGTCGCCTTCCTCGGCGCATACTGGGCACTGGGCAGCGTCTGCTGAGTGTCCAGATCGTCCAGGTGGACTTGACATGTGTGTTCTTCTGTCCTTTTCTTTCCTTGTTTTCATTTCCTTTTTATTGAATTTATTGGGGTGACATTGGTTCACAAAATTATTCAGGTTTCAGGTGCACAAATGTCCAAAACACAAAGCAGACAACAGTACAACCACTGAGGACACATCACCACTCCCCACGGCCCAGACACCCACTGGGAAAGCGCCGGTGTCACGTGGGCCGGCGGCGTGGCACCCACGTGAGTGTGTGTAGGTGGAGGAACAGACACGAGAGTAGTGCTAGCCTGCGTTTTTTGAATGGCTTCAGAGTTTGGCTTGAGGAGGCATTTCCAGTGAAACAGTCCCGATGGCCGCGTTGGCCGTCCGCCCTCTGTGGCACGGAGAGCATTGGCCTGAATCAACACCCGCCCGAGGGCACAGGCCTCTGCAGGGCCCCCAGGGCCGTGCCCCGTGCTGGGCCCGGACAGCCGCGGAGCACGTCCTCACGCTCTCCCCTCTGTGCTGCAGGGATGTACCGGTGCGGCCCGGCCTCCGTTCAAGCCATTAAGCACGGTCACGTCTGCTTCCAGTTTGATGCGCCCTTTGTGTTTGCGGAGGTAAGTGGAAAGCCAGGGCAAGTGCTGCCTCCCTCTCCGACCTCTTAACACCGCAAAGAACAAGGTACTGAGTTGTCACTTCTGAATTTCCCGGGCCCCTGGTGGACTCATTCCGACTGCCAGGCTCTGACTTCTAAATGCAGTCCTCGCTAACATGTTTCCTTCCTAGATGTTTTCGGATTTGTTCCCCTCAAAACCCATTGCTTTACTGAGCGCCGCGTTCTACGACCAGAATGAGGAAACATCTATTATTAACGTGCGAGGCCTCTGTCTTCAGAAACGATTGTTGATGGGAAGTGGAGAGCAAGCACGTCAGAAGTGAATAACAGTAACCTAAGAGCGGCCACGGAGCTAGCTGTCAGAGCTGCGGGCTGAGAAGTGATCTACATTTATACGTGCGGGTTCATTGCTGCGAGGACGGACTGGGGCCCGAAGCAGCACAGCAAACGCCGTAAGGCCATGTCCAGGGGGAGGGTGACGTGGGGCAGACAGTGGGGACACCTTCGTGAGAGCCGCAGGAAGACACGCAGACTGCTGCTGGAGCGTCTGGAAGGAGCATCTGGGAGGAAGGAAAGGCTCTCGGGCAGAGGGGCCGACCTGAGCATCCAAACGGTGTGGGGGACACTAGCCCTCTGCAGGCCCAGGAGTGATGCGCCAGCGGGTGTCCGGAGTTGACAGCTGAAGGAGCTGGGTGTGCGGGCCTCAGGTCCTGAGAAGTGGGCACTGCCCCCTGCAGACCAGAGAGGGGAAAGCCCCGAGGCTCCTGAGCACGCTGATGGATGGGAGGGACCACCCCGACAGGGAGCCCAGCGCGAGGGCTGCGGACTCCACCCAGGCAGGGCTGGACCATGGCACCTGAGGGCGGAGGAGGAGGCGGGGCTGGAAATGTTTAGGAAGTACATTAGTGTAAATATTTAGACAGCAGACTCAGAACGTGAAACACAGAGGAGGCGTTCCTTCCAGCGCGCCTCCCTTCCGGAAGCCCTGGGAGACGACACACCGCGCATGGAACTTGCTCCCTCAATTTCACTCTGGGATTTGGAGATTTAGCCAAACCTCCCAGCTGCATCTGATAGTTTATGGTGCTACGAGAACCTCTGAATAGGAAATCACTCTAAAATTCACAAAGCCTTTTTTCCATTTTCATTATGCTTCATTGCTGCAAAGGAGGAGAGGGGAAAGAACCCCCCTCCACAAGCAAATGGCCCAATAGCTGTTCATGCAAACGCTTTCGCTGTTATTAAACATAGATCAGGGTGCTAGGAATGTCATCGGGTCTGCAGATCAGAATCCCTCCTCTCCGCTGCACACGTGTTTGCTAGAGTGCGCGGTGCGTCGCGCTGGCACGGGCTGAGCTCCAGGGCTCAGTCATTTATAAGAGATGTTTGAGCTGTTGAGAAGGTCTGAAGAATCTTTTCTCAAGGGTACCTAAAGTAGGACCCACGGGGGCGCCCCCATGACTCAGGCTTTAGCCTGCGTCATCTCTTCCCATCCCCACCTCCCGGCTGCGCAAGCTCCGGCTCCCTCCCTCCCCAGTGCATCAGAGGAGCCCGCCTTTTCTTGCCTCTCAGCATGCTTTCTTGGTCACTCCTTACTCATTTCCGGGCCAGGGCAAGCATCTTGTTTATTGACGCTTTCTGCTCGTCTCAGGACCTCAGTCTTTAGAGGAGAGGGGCGTCCTTTTCCTCCCCTCCTTCATTTGTGAAATTTATCCTTAGTATTTACAGATTCCTTTCTGGGCTTAAAACTTAACTTCTCTCCCCTGCTCCCTCTCAGGCCCTTGGAGCTGAGGTGTTTCCCAGTTCTGGAGGGCCATCTGCCTGTTCTCTCCCCACCTCCTGGCGCCCTTGGGCTTCCAAAAAGCTGAGCAGGGACCAGAACAGTCCTGAAAGTCTGGAGTCCGCTCTGAATTCCCGTGTTCACTAAGCTCAGGAGTCATGCTCCTCTTCCAGCTTAGCTTCTTCTGATTGGATCTGTTGTCTCCTTCACACTATCCCACTCCAAACTCATACACACCCATAAACGCATGCACACACACACACACGCACACACACACGCATGCACTCGTGCACACATGCACACACACACAATCCTGCCTTCCCTCCCTGGCGCTGAGCTGGTCTGTGCGATAGTAATGACTGGTCCTCAGGGCCACAGTACCCAGCCCACGGCTCCAAAGCCACGCCTTCCCCAGCTCTGGGCCGGCAGTTCTCTGCGTAGTTTCTCTGCAGCTTCTTTATTCTCAAGTCAAAGGTGTTTGTTCCGCGACCAGTTATTAGATGCGGCCCACTTTTTGGCATCATTTGTTCTCATCTAAAATAATTCTTCCATTCATTCAAATAACGTAAAGCTTGAAAATCTTCTTGGCTTCTCTTTTGAACCTTCCTCAGACATCTTGTCAGAAAGACCTTTAAACACTGTCACTCATCACCCTGTGATCTTTATCACCTCCTCCGAGCTCTGTACAGCCCCCGCCTGTGAGGTTGCCTGTAATTCAGCTCCACCTTCTCTCACCCCGTTGCCTCTCTACTGTCCACAAATCAGCCAGAATTATCTTTTAAAATGTAAATAACACCTTGTCACTACCCTCCCTCCAACCATCTAATAGAGTCTCACCACTCTTAAAATAAAACTGAACATAAATCTTTACAAGATTTGATGTGCTCTGGCCCCTGGCTTCCCCTCCCCCATCCCTGCTCATTCCCTCCAGCCACCCCGACCTTCTTACTCTTCTGAAAACATCCAGACATGCTCCTATTTCAGAGCTTTGCACATACTGTTCCTTTCTCTGTGAAACTCTTCCCTGCGGTATGTTAGGGGAATGTTCTGTTCCCTCATGCGTCCTGGTCTCTGCAGGTCACCTCCTCCCAGAGGCCATCGCTGCCCAACCCCCACCTGACATAGCATAGTCTGCTCTGTGCTTTTATCCTTCTAGCCTGCCTTAGTGTTTATTATTTCTCTCCCTGGATTCTCATTGCTGAAGGCAAGTTATGGCACGTGGTAGTCATGAATAAATACTTGTTGAATGAATGAGTCAAGCAAACAAAAGCTAATGCTGAGCACACTGCTAAGAACGGTATCTCAGAGAGACGGGGGCCGGGTGGCACCCCCCGAGCCCTGGCGGGAGCTGTGGCGCACGGGGCTGGCGGCACAGCCCGCTGCAGGCGGAAGGGATGGTGTGCACAGGTGGGTTTATGGCAGTTGGGGGGAGGCTGGTGGACCAGGCCGGCACCCCCTGCCTTGGTGTGTCCTCAGAGGACCACCATTTTCTCTGCACGGCTTCGTGCCATGTAGCTAGCCTTGTTTCCTGGGAACAGATGAACGAAGGAAACTCCTGGGTGCTGAAGAAAGCCTCCATCCATTGTGGTGGCGAGTGCAGCTTCTGGTAGCAGCGGACATCTGTCTCCACGCCACGGGCACAGGCAGACGTTTGCAGAGAGGCCGCTGTAGCCTCTGCCCAGGCCGCCTGTGCGGAGCCCCCGCCTGAAGCTCGGCCAAGGCTGCGGAGGACGTGCCGGGCCTGAGCAAGGGCAAGGCTGTGGTGTGCTGAATCAGCGCCCGGTTCCACGTCGGGATGCCAGGCTCCGCCTGGCCATGGTCCCTTCAAGTGTGGAGGGAGGACCAGATGATCACTAAGACTCCTTTCCATTCAAAAGAAAGTTGGCCTTAAACATAGGATTTTCACAAGTAGTACTGATCTACCCCCAGCCCTGCAAGGATAGTGTTATTAAACCCAGAGACATTCAGTAACTCGCCCAGAGTTGCACAGCCTGGGTCCGATATTTCTTCCAGCATCCCTTGCACTTACTACTCTACTGTGGACATGAGCTGGTCTTGGGTGGGCCTATCACTGCAGCTTTTTAAGCCCCCCAGTGACTCTAGCATGCAAGGATGGAGAACCACTGCACTCGTGGCTGGAAGTGGAGAGAGGGCTTGCTGGTGCCATGTTGATTGGGTGGATACCTCCCCTCCACCCCACCCTCAACATACCTATGCAAAAGCCATTTCACGTGTGTGTTTCTTCTCTCCTGTCTCCCAGGGACAGTGCTGTTGGGCTGGCCTGAGATTTTCACCTGCATCCACTTCCTAAGATGTGCTCAAAGGGAGGCAAGGACTTAGCTCCCTTCACATTAGCCTGGTCTCCCTGGATAACTAAGCTGTTGTAAGGGCTGGTAGTAAGAGGACATTTGTCACTACTGTTGCTACAGTTTGCAAGTGGAGGAGGAGCAGTCTGTGCTCACATGGCCTCCTCCAGAGGAAGAGGCAACAGTCTCAGGAAGTTCACTTACCTTAAAGGTTCCTTACCTGTCTTTTTTTGCAAAATGGCCAATATTCTTTAGGTGTCTGCTCTGTCATCTCTCATCCCGATCCCTGATTTCACATTTCTCTCCCTTCAGAAGGCTGAGCCCCAAGTGTGAAGCATTTCCCCCTGCGCGGTGGTGCTCATGGCCCGCAGGGTGGTGTGGGGGGCCGTGTGCTGTGCAGGTCAGGGGCTGTGCTGTGGCAGTTGAGGGTGTGAGTCAGGGTGCAGGCGAAGGGCCAGCCAGGGTCTGCAGCTCTTCTCTGCCAGCTCTCAGCCATGTGTCCACAAACACTTTGCTGACCCCGAGTCTTGGGGCCTCCTCTGTAAAACGGAATTAAGAAGGCATGCCTCACAGGGCTGTTGTGAGGTTCACAAGAACTGATTTTTAAATGTCCCTGAAGCATTGTGGGTATTTAATAAATGTTGGGTACTTACTTTCTCCTTAGTAGAATCAGACTGTATGCAAATTCAAAACATTTTGTGAGAAAACCTCTTTAATCTCAGCTTTAGAAGTTAAGAACCCATCATCGCCTTCCCGTTATACTTTTACTCAGCGTTGAAATGTACAAGTCATGCTCTCCTGCATCAGTCCTAACATGTTGCTGTGAAATTGGCCGAACAAGGACCATTCTTTTCATTTCATAGAAGCAGGGACTGAAGGTCAGAGAGGGTAAGGTAATTTTTACAAGGACACATGCAAGATCAGAACCCAGGTGTCTTACAGCTAGTCCAGTGTGTCTCCGATACGCTCCTCAGAACGTCTGCCGGGACTGGTCCTTACGCCTCTACCAGCCTTCCTTCTCTCCGTTGTTTGTTTTGTCTTAATTATTTTTAGCCTTATCCAGGGTGCAATTGTACACATTTAAAGTCTGCATCTGTGATACCATCAGCACAACCGAGGTACTACACATATCCATCATCTCCAAAAAATGCCCTTGTGTTCTTTTGCGAGTCTTCTGTTTGTTTGCTTGTCTGTTTGCTTTTTGGTGTGAACACCTAACATGAGATCCTCTAGTTCACCAACTTCTATGCATCTTTCAGATTTCAACTTGGCTATTTCTTCCCAGCCCCCAAGCCCCGCCCTGGCCCGAGTGCCCCATGACATCGTAAACGCTCCCCTGCGGGCACTCACTGTGCTGTATTGCGGGGTTCTCAGGCTTGCGTGCCCAGGAGGATTATCTGGGATCTTTGAAAAAAGAAGTACATTAAGGGTTCCATCCAAGACCTCGTTGACCAGACATCTATTTTTTTAAGTTCCCCCAGGTGATTCTGATGCTCAGAGTATCCCTTAGTAGAGTATAAACCCTAAAAGTGTCTGAATCTATTTTGTTTATCACTAAGAAATCTTAAAGAATATCTGATAATACTAATACATAATTTATTATTCTTATTGATAATATTTATAAGTGTTTGTTCTATGCCAGGCACTATGATAAGTAATTCACATGTGTTTATTTCAGTTAATTATTCCAACTACCCTGTGGAAGGAGCTATTATTGCCCTGTTTAAAAGAGGAGGGGTCCTGGCCAGTTTGCTCAGCAGTTAGAGCGTCAGCCCGTGGACCGAAGGGTCACAGGTTCGATTCCAAGTCAAGGGCATGTACCTGGGTTGTGGGTTCAATCACCAGCCCAGGTCAGGGTTGTGCGGGAGCAACCAATTGATGTGTCTCTTTCACATCAATGTTTGTCCCTCCCTCCCTGCCTCCCTCCCTCCCTCTAAAAATCAATGGAAAAATATTCTCAGGTGAGGATTAACAATAAAATAAAAGAGGAGGGAACTGAGGCTTGGAAGGCCTTGGACAACATTTGGGGAATACATCAGTGACTATTTTCAGCTGGAGCCTGCTGCAGCGGTGCGACTCGTGTCCCCACCTGCTCCCATGCTAACAAACGGAACCCCAAGAAAGTGCCTGTAAAGAATACAATGAGGGACTCTAGGGGAAGCAGCCTCCAGGCCTGGATTTAGACTTTGCCTCATGAAAGTAGAGTGCTAAGGCAGAACCTTGAGCGCTTGGGGGTCAGCCAGCATGGCCTCAAGGTGCTATTTCCAAGTCCCATAAACAGCAAGGTTTAGTTGCTGAATCACCTAAATTCCAAATTTAGGTGCTGTCTGAATTCCACCTGGATAGTCTAATATTATTTTTCAATTAAAATGCTTTTGGCTGCAATTAACAATTAAAATGACTTTAGCAGATGGGGTTTAAGTCCCCCATTCCTCACAGAAGGAACCCTGAAGGTGAGGGGCGAGTGAGTGTCGGAGAAGCTGCAGCACAGCCTTTGGCCACGGGAAGCTGCCGGCTCCGAAGAGGGGCGCCCTCGGCGCGGGCTGTCCGCATGCCGGGCCGGGGCCGTCGCCAGGAAGGCACTGTGAGACCGCAGCCGGAGACGGAACGGTTTCCTGTCGGCAAATATGCCAGACCTGGGTGACGTTTATCCCCCCATTGTTTAATCTGTACACAGAACATATATGAAAAACCGACAGACTCGGAGGGAGCAGGAGTGAGAACTGTGGGAGAAATATCGGTAATAAGTTAAGGCAGGCCGAGGCTCCGCGGTGCTGGCGGAGCGTAACCATGATTTGAAGTCACTGCAGGGAAAGTGGAAGAAGAAACTGCAGAGCAGCACTGCACGTGCGCATCAAGAAGACAAAACCCCGACGACGGAAGAAATCCACCGCTTTAACAACGACGACGAAGACACTGAAATTGTTCGAGACTTTGCTTCTCTTGGCTCGGTCATCGGTTCAGATGGGGACGGAGGCCAGGAAAGCAGGGAAGGCTGAGCCTCAAAGAACAGCAGTGAAAGACCAAGAGCAAAGACGTGACGTTACAGACCCAGGCGAAGACCGTCCACACCTTCTCATTCCCAATCACTGTGCACGGATGTGAAAGTTTGACAGCGAAGAAGCTGAGAGGAAAAAGTAATTATATATTTAAAACATGGTGTTGGAGGAAAGCTCTTTAAATATCCTGGACCACCAGAAAAATGAACACGTGGGTTCTAGAGCAAACTAAGCCTGAGATATCGCTGGAACCAAAGAGATAAAACCAAAGCTGTCCTACGCAGGAACATCATGAGAAGGCAGGTTCTTTAGAAAAGACAGCAACGCTGGAAAACCTGCAGGCAGCAGGAAAGAGGCAGAGCAGACTGAGATGGACTGAGTCCACACAGAAGCCATGGGCATGAGTCTCCAGGCGCTGAGCAGGCCTGCTGAGGCCCGGACCCCGTGGACGTCATCATTCGTAGGGTCGCCAGGAGTCAGAAGTGACTCAGTGGCACGTAACACACACAAGAGGTCCTGAAGTAGGTCGTCCCAAGGTTGGCTGAGCCATCTGCCAGCACTGTGAAGCCCTCAGTGCCTCTTCTCTCTCTACTCGACCATCTCTGTGTCGTCGGAGTGTCATGCTCACTGTGTCCGACGGCTAAAGCAGCTCCCTGCACCCCTTCACTTCGCAGGAAAACATTCAGAAGCAGGAAGAGAAGGCCAAACTCTCCCAAGTACTCCTCTCCTTTGATAAAAATGTCTTTCCCCAAAGCCACCCCACTGGCACGCTCTTTTCCTAGAAGTAGGTCACACACGGCTACTGTAGGCTTGCAACAAGGAACAGACGTGCTGTGCTCAGCTCTCCGCGGAGGGTGGAATCACCAGCAAGAGAAGGGAGCCCCGCGGCGGCTCGGACGCTTGCAGTGTTGTCCTGTACACGAAAATGTTGCAGGTTCACCTCCTGGTCAGGGCAGACCCCTAGGAGTGGGTTCGAGCTCTGGGCAGGGCAACCATGTATGTTTCTCTCTCACATTAATATTTCTCTTTCTCTCTCTCTTAAATCTATAAGCATATCGAAAAAGAGGGAGAAAGAAGTGATTGATGTTTAGACAACTGATAGTCCCAACCCTAAATATTTTTAATTTAAAATACCTGATAATTAATGTAGACTAGATTCCCCTTCAGAATGGTTTTTGAATGAGTTTAGCGCTGTGAATCCAATGTTGTTGAAGAAACATGTCACCACCATGGATTTTAGATAACTACACCATTGAGAGTTAGAGATTTTGGTAACAAAGACATTTGATGATGACTGATGCTCTTTTTCCTGTTTTTAGGTCAACAGTGATCTTGTTTACATCACAGCTAAGAAAGATGGCACTCATGTGGTAGAAGCTGTAGATACCACCCACATTGGGAAATTAATTGTGACCAAAGAAACTGGAGGAGATGGCATGAAGGATATTACTGATACCTACAAATTTCAAGAAGGTAATTGACTATACTTTAATGATGATTTCTTTGCCCAAGTCCATTTAGTACTCACCAGGTCACTCTGAGACGTGTCCCGGAGAATACATGGGTAGTTACAGCACATGTTAGTCTGAGCAGAAGAATGAACTCTCACGAGCGAAAGACACCTCACACTTGCAACTTTTTATAATCATTTCACTAATGTGTTTGTAGGAGCAGAATTCCCCTCTACGTGGCTTGTGAAATGATTTGATTTTAAGTCATATCTACTATAACAGCATATAGAATATATGAAAGAACAAAAAATAGCATTAAATCCTGTAATCCTATTAGAAAACGCTGTATAACTAATGTAATTTTAGTTCAATAATAGGAATGTAAATAACAAATCACATCTGTTTAGTACCTCATAGACTATTTCTACATGCATTGTTCCGCTGAATCACCATGGAAATCCCTTGAGGCAGATGATACAGTGTTAAGAGGACAGTGCAATCTTCCTATTTGGGCCAATTAAGCTGAAGGCATGTTTCAATTATAAAATAATGATAAGGTATTTTTAACTTTCACTGGGTAGAGTTTTAAATGGAGCCATTGAGTTCAGTTCTGTCAGTGGGTACAGATCACACACCCTATGCCTGGAACCGTGTTTGGTGCTGGGATCATTGCAGTGAGCAGGATCTGATTTCTGTTCCTGGCCAAGCGATAGGGTCAGTATGCGAAGGGGGCTTTGATAACACAGAGGAGGGGCTCTCAGTCCAACCAAGAGATTCTGAAAAGGCAATTGTAGAGAGAAATCGTAGACCACAGTTAAAAAACGCTGGCCAGGGGTGTCCAGGCAGTGGGAACATGGCCAAAGCATGGAGGTTTGAAGCACCTGGTGTGCTGAGGGTCCTGCGGGCATCACGAAACATCAGACTCAGAGTGCCCAGTGGCTGAAGCAAGGCTGCCCAAGGTCAGGAGGTGAAAGACAGCAGACAGGAGGAGAAAGACCTCAGGGGCCTTGGCAGGGGACGTGGAATGTAGAAGCTGCACCGTCGGAGTCCTTAGGAGTGGCATTTATCTTAGTGAATGGATAGAAATGATGAATACTTAGATATATCTAAATATCCATCAGTATTCCTGAAGTGCTAAGGCGTGCAGAATTTGTTTTAAATGTTTTAGACTCTCTGTGCTCTTATTTACGAAAGCAATTTGCACTATAAAGAGAAAGTTTGCTGAACTGAGAACTCTTGTGCATAGTATTAGAAAGTCAAAATTTCTATCATCTGAACTAGTGAATTTTTGCTGTATTTCTAAAATGATTCATTCTTTTTTTGGTTACATGTCATCCATTGCACAACATAGATACAAAAGATTTTTTCTCCTAAAAAGCAGAACGTTGGGGGGCACAATAAATTTGAAGACATAGCAATAGAAACAATCATAAAAAAATGTTTTTGTGCTAGAAAAAAACACATGATAAAACAAAACAAGCAAGCAGTACACTCTTGTTATGGAGTTATAGGCAAAAGGTTTGAAAAGGAAAAATAAAAGTCCATAAAAAGGGTAAAGAAACTAGCTGTAACTTTCATTCATTCATTCATTCATTCATTCATTCATTCAACAAGTTGCTATTTACCACGCCCATATTTTCAACACTGGGTACCAATAGAGAATTCATAGCCCTGCTTTCCCGTCTAGCTGGAGAGACCAGCAGGAAGTAAGCCCTCACCAAGTGTGGGATGGGTGCCCTGAAACATGGGGGGACGGATGCTCTAGGGCATAGACAAGGGCGTCCTCAGCCAGACTCAGGGATTGTGGAGGGTGTTAGTGATGGGCTCACTGAGATGGAAAGACAGACGGAAATCGGTCAGGTGGCATGTACATGGGGAAGGACTTCAGGAAGAGACCGCAGGACAAGGACCGTGGATAAACTTTCCTAGCGTGGAAGAAGTCCTGATCAGTCAGGGAACCAGAGGTAAGCCTGCAGGTAGCTGTCCAAGCCATTCGCTGTCTTGTCTAAAGCATTCAGCAGAATGCCATCAGCTGTCAGCTGCGGAGGTGGCTGCGCAGTCCAAATCAGGGTCAGAGGTCAAGAAGGGAAGGATCCACAGTCCACAAGAAAAAGAGTCAGGGGCTTGGCCAACAGATTAAAGCAAATAAAATGTGCCAACTCTGAATGAGGGAGACATTTATGGTCCAGGCCTACAGAGTTTGGCAAGAAGGCAAGGCTCAGATCAGTAGACTGTGTCGGGGTCTGGTCTAAACAGGAGAACCCCCAAATACCCATCAATTGTTACAAGAAAAAGCCATCATGCTTCTGGGCTAGTCTGATCCCACGTGGATGGATAATTAGCCTCTGAATCAAAGGTGGCATGTACCTTTCACATTCTAGCTGTGGGAATGACCGAGCGCCGAGACTGCTCTGGACAAGGGGAAAGATGCTGACCATCGGCATCGGCCAGGGCGTCCAGAGGGGCTGGCGGCACCGTGGCCAAGCCTTTGCCACATGGATTCTCGTTACTGCGTCTCTCATGTCATTTCTCTGTCCACATCTGCGTGAGGCCACTAAAAAGGGAATTATTACCAGATTTAGGGATTTACTGTTTTAATTAACTAAATTGTGGATAGATCATTTTTCACTTTGATAAACTAAAACTTAACATTAATTTTATACCTTTTATACTATCAAACTTTGAAAATCAGAGTCTTTAAAACTTCTGTGGCAACATTGCTCCTTCATGGTGGTGTCCGGTCCCCTTCCTCACTGCTCCGTCAGTAGCTCCCTCTGTCAGTTGTATTTTCTCTCCTCTATTGGCTCCTTCTCATTAGAATTTCAGTGTTTAAAAAGTTTGGTTCCCGCTAAGGGCGCGTACCTCGGTGCAGTTTGACCCCGGCCCTGGGTGGGGTCAGGTGGGTGGCAGCCAGTCGGTGTGCCTCTCTCACATGGATGTTTCTCTCTCTTCCCCCCTCTCTCCCTGCCACTCTATCTATGGATGCAAAAATGTCCTCAGGTGAGGATAAAAAAAAAAGTTTGCAGAACTCTTTTCCAACAACATATCCCCACCACACACACCCGCGCGTTCCCCTCACCTCCATGTCCCCGGGTCTTGGAAGAGCGCCTGGCAGCCCGTCATTTCCTTCCCCCGCATTCCTCGCCGGCCGCGCCCTGGGCTCTGCCACCAGCATACCCTTGGGGATCTCCCGGTTGCCAAGACCACCTGATTGCCACGTGGAATAGACGTTCTGCAGACCTCAGCTTGCCGGGCCTCCTACACCCTTTGATGCTATTACTCACTCCCAAGTCTGAAGTTCTGTTCTCTTTGTTTTAGTGACACAGTGTCTCCTGGTTCCACCCCAACCCGCTGGGTTCTTTTTTCTATCTCCTTCTGCACACTAAGCTCCCCTTCCCTTACTCCCTCCGAAAATTACTTTTACTTCACTCTAAGCTCCCGCCCTTGGGTGTCATGCCACCTCCTTTACGTCCTTTCTGCCTAGCTGGTGTCACATCCGCACACACACTGATCATCCCCGTAGCCGGCTCCAGTGTAGACTCCGCTTTCAGCTCCATGTTTGCCTAAATGCCCCACAGAGACCTGACACGGAACCTGCCCACATGCCACCTCTCCCACTGCCCCGCCCCAGGCTACTTCTCCGCACTCTACCGCAGTGAAGAGCACCCGGTTCACCCACATTCAGCAGCTCGACAGGCCACGGAGCAGTAAACCAGTGTGCTCGGAGCCCGCTCGACTCCCTCTGCTCCTCCTGGTCTCCGTGGCCACGGTCTGAGACTTCCACGGCCTCACGTATGGGAGGCCCTTAGCGTAGGGCCTGATGTCTAGAAAGTGTCCAATAAAAGTAAGTTTCTGCTACTGCTAGTAATTGTATTATTCCTGCCATACCACTGCTATCGGCTTGAGCTACGCTAGTTTTCCTCCAGGACACCTGCCCCAGCTTCCCAACTCCATCTTCCTTCCTCATCCTCTTGCCCTCATTCTAAACCCTGCACTGCTGCCAACATGACACAGTTAAAGTGCCGATCCCAGCCTGGTACCGCATGCTGCAAAGCCCCGCTCTGCGGTCACCTCCAGGGCTCCACGTGCCTCTGCTGTCGGCCTTTCTAAACCCTCGCGGCCCTGAACCACGCCCACCGGGCTCCTAGCGGCAGCCAATGAGCTGCTGACAGCTCCTCCAAGAGCCAGGCTCGCACCTGCCTCCAGGCCTTTGTTCTCACTGGGGGAGGAAAACCTCTGTGAGAAGCCTCCCTGCCCCCAGGTGCTGTTGAATCTCCGAGTCTCCTGCACACACAGAAACCTCTGCCGGCGTCTGTGATAGACACGTGTGTGGGATGGGGAGGCTGTGCCTCTCGCCTGGGCACAGTGCCTGGACATTGTCGCCATGATCACATGAGTGCTGACTCGAGGGGCGCTTTCACCGGTGACCTTAACTGAACGTCCAGTGTCCTACACCCGACTCTTGGTACTCACGATCATGATGGAAGTTTGTGTCTGGATGAAAGCGCGGGGCTTCTCCCACCCTCCAGAGCCCGGTGCCAGGCTGAGTCCTAGCCCAGAGCACGCGGAGCTGGCCTTGTAACCGGGGAGACCATGTCATGTAGTGACAAGTACAGGCCAAAGGAGATCAAACCAGGCAACATGTCAGTGAGAGATGAGAGAGGGCTGGGGCTGGAGACACAGTACACAGGGTGATGGGAGAGGGCACTCTGAGGAGGTGACATCTGAGCTAAGACCCCAACAATGGGATGAGTCCTCATCAAACACAAGGGCACTCTCGTTGCATCCCAGTTTCTGACCTTACTCCTGGAGGCCACAGAGGGGTCTCAGGAAAGATCATCTGGCTTTAGACCATTCTCTCCCAGCACTCGATGTGGGGCCTGGTTCAGGGAGACGTCAGAGCACGAAGCACAGCTGCAGTGACGGGGTGGGGGTGGGGGTGGGGTCCGCCAGCTCCCGGAGACCTGCAGCTCCTGCCTATCAGGCCAGCCGAGCTTCCTGTAGCACCTGCTCAGGGGCAGGCTGACCCGGGCGGGAGCTAGAGGTCCCTCCACCTATGACAGGACAGGCTATAAAGTCTCCGTAGCCCCCCAGCCCTCCACTGCCCCTTCCCCTCGTCCCAGACAGCTCCGCTTCTCTCCCCGGAGTAACCTCTCTGACCACGTTCCTGCTGCTGGTGTTTGCCCTGCATCTGCCTAAATGCACATTTGGTACCCATCCAAAGCAATGGCCGTTAATGCTCTCTCTCCAGAGCTATCTGCCAGATGCCGAAATGTTTCAGTGCACTTTCCTGGTCACAGCTCGTCTTCCCTTCATTACTGCCTCCGGCATTGATCTGTAAACACGCGCTCTAGCCAATGCTTGTCCTAGACAAATTGTTTCTGGCACATTCTGGCAATCTTGACAATCAGAGCAATTGTTAACAGGCACACACACACAAATACACATTTTCGATTGTTTGCAACACCTTCTGGCATTTCCTCTGTCTTTGCAAAGTACCAGCAGCTGCCAGTTCTCATGCATGGACCACCTCTAATCCACTGAACTGCCCTAGGACGTTGGCTCCCGTATTACAAACCGGGATGGTAACAGCAGCGCCTGCCTTGCTGAGCTGCTCCGAGGATTAATGAGCTAGGGTACAATCCGTACTTACACAACAGCCATCACATAGTTAGTTGTTGGTGATAACTCACTGACCTCTTCATCTCCGATGCTTTTTTATTATAAACTAAGTCAAGTGAAAGATAGTATCTTAAAATGAACATCATTATAAAAGCCAGCACTTTTATTTTGAAGTGCTTGTGCTTTGTTTTGGATTTTTGCTAGCCAATGCCATGACTACTTTTTAGAAGTCAAACAATGTGCCTCTCTGTTTTCCACAATACACGGAGACATGCCCATAGGAATTAGGACGGTAAAGAAAATAGGAACCATCTCCCCACACCTCCTTAGTCCCTGTGCCCCAAAGCCGAGTCTTTGTCCCGGGCTCAGCAGAGAATGTGAGCCCAGCTTGGGGCCAGGAGCAGCAAGCTCTGAGCCCTAACTTGCTCCTGTGCTTCTCACTGTCTCACATGCAAACAGCAGTGTTTGTTCTTCCAGACACACCCCTTCTCCTCCTCTCCACACTTTCCTCTCCATCACCACCACTTTGGAAACCCTACATAAGACATATTCCTAGCCCTGGCCGGTTTGGCTCAGCGGTTAGATCCTCGGCCTGCGGTCCGGAGAGACCCGGGTTCGGTTCCCGCTAAGGGCACGTACCTCGGTTGCAGTTTGTCCCCGACCCTGGTTGGGTCGTGTGGGTGGCAGCCACTCGATGTGTCCCTTTCACATCGATGTTTCTCTCTCTCTCTCTTCCTTCCACTCTATGTCAACAAAATATTAAAAAATGTCCTCGGGTGAGGATTAAAAAAAAAAAAAAAAAAAAAAGACAATAAGACATATTCCTAGAAACAGCACACATGTCCCAAACAGCACACGTGTCCATAGCTGCTCCTCAAAAGGAAAATGTGTTCGGGGTCACAGGACTTTGGGAAATCTTGATCAACAAGTCTCCCACAGCAAGGCACGGTTCCGGAACCTTCCGCAGGCTGCCGGACGCTGGGAACGCCCAGGAGGCACTAGGAGCCCAGTGCTCCCAGGGAACTCGGCCTTGGAGGCCCTTGGCGGGAAAGGCTTGTCAGCAGTTGGCTGGAAGGGAGCGTGGGGCTGCTCGGGAGACAGCAGTCTCTGCACTCTGCCGCAGCCACTGGCCATGCAGGAGGGAGTGGAGGGCAGGGTGCGAGGGGCCAGGCTCTGCTCCACGGGAGCCGTGGGACAGACCCATGTGGAAGAGAGGGGAGGAAGACAGGTCCTGGGGAGACCATGAATAGGAGAAAATTGAAATGCAGAAGGTGGAATGGCCAGATGCGATTATTGCCAAAATCTTTGCTTAGAGATCCCCAAATTCTAGCCACATGGCTAGGACTTGGGGAGGGAAGCAAAGTGAACGCATTGAGGGGAGTTAGATTTTACCTATTCTGCCTTCTACACCCTGGGGTGGTGGGATGCAGAAACCACTGTCAGAGCACAACAGGGGGGCTGCCTGACTCAGCCTCGGGGCAGGGCAGGACTCACGGGAACTCTGTTTCGCAGAGCCTGTGGCGTAGGAATGTTCTGACACCTGCGTCCCAGGAAGTGGTGTGGCTGTAGAGACACCCACAGGCACGCACGCCGGCCTGGAGCTCAGCGTGCTTGTCACTGAGACCTTCTCTCTAGTGGGCTGCGTGTCTTTCCCCCGTCATCATCTCTGCATCTCTCCTAGGACAAAAGGAAGAGAGACTGGCCCTGGAAACTGCCCTGATGTACGGGGTTAAAAAGCCCCTCAACACGGAAGGCGTGGCGAAACCGAGGTCCGACGTGACCATGGACTTCGAAGTGGCAAACGCCGTGCTGGGCAAAGACTTCAAGGTCACCATCACCTTCCAGAACAACAGCCCCAACTCTTACACCATCACTGCCTATCTCTCGGGCAATGTCACCTTCTACACCGGGGTCTCCAAGGAGGAATTCAAGAAGGAGACATTCGATGTGGCCCTGGAGCCCATGTCCTGTAAGCCAATCGTAGGGCCAGTCCCACGAGTTGTGAACGTTAATTATAACTTAATTTCTTGCTACTTAGAGTGTGGGCTGAGGATCTGAAGCATCCGCGTCTCTGGGGAGCTGGTTAGAAATGCAGACTCTCAGGCCCCTCCCACACCTGTCAATCAGGATCAGGATCTACATTTTAACAAGATCCCAAGGGCACCGAGTGCCTGGGAAAGACTGCGAAGGACACATCTCACAGGACAGGTGCCCTGGCGGTGCCTCTCCACCCAGTTAGGCTTTGGGGGGCTGCTCCGTCAGGAAGGATGGGTGTTCTTTACCATTCAGAAGGCAGGGAGAGCTGAGCTTTGTGTAAAAGCTGTTTCTCAATATTGATCTGCCTGATACTAAGCACAGGGGAGAGGAGATGGGAGGCTGCATGTGCTGTCCGGAGCCTCTGCGGGGGTTTTCTCTCTGCCATCTCTTGGGGGACTCTTTCTCATCCTTGATCCCTTCTAGCCTCCCCTGTACAGCCCCTCCAAAGCATCTTCTTCACTACAAAAATTCAGAATATTTTAAGCAGAATTGGGATCAGTATGTAGCACCTTGTGCTGGATTGCAATTTCATTTTCATTTCTTGGGGTCCTAGCATTCAGTGGGCTCAACAGCTGGTCACGCAGCTGGCAGAATGAGTCCACCAGAAGGCACTGTCCCCAGGCAGCTGAGGTACAGAGCAGGCTGGGAAGGACCTGAGCTCTTCAGGGCTCCGGCTTCTGTTGACCTGACGTGTGGCCCCGAGAAAGAAAAGGGAAAAAAAGTATGAGAACAATAATTTCACGAAGCAGAGAACCCAATCACATCTCCACAGTGTTCATGCGTTCTGGATTTGGTATCTGTCCCAAGCCACAGTAAGTTCAGAAAGATATTCCCATAAAAATGGGAAACTATTCTTAAAAATCCTAATTCTGAGAAACCTGTCCAAACTTGAAGGAGGAAGCAAAGCCCCCTCGTTTCAGAACCGTGACTTTAATGATTAGGAGATCAATCACCATGGTATTTTCCTTGGAAACAGGAGGCGCTGGCGCTTTGCCAATCCCCGGAGGTCGGAGACGGAATTCTCACTCACAAGGGCAGTAGGAGAGTTAGGATCCAGGCGCAGTGGGGAGGTAACAGACCAGGCGCAGTGGGGGAGTTAGGGTCCAGGCGCAGTGGGGGAGTTAGGGTCCAGGCACAGTGGGGGAGTTAGGGTCCAGGCGCAGTGGGGGAATTAGGGACCAGGCGCAGTGGGGGAGTAAGGGTCCAGGCGCAGTGGGGGAGGTAACGGACCAGGTGCAGTGGGGGAGTTAGGGTCCAGGCGCAGTGGGGGAGTTAGGGTCCAGGCGCAGTGGGGGAGTAAGGGTCCAGGCGCAGTGGGGGAGTTAGGGTCCAGGCGCAGTGGGGGAGTTAGGGTCCAGGCGCAGTGGGGGAGTTAGGGTCCAGAGGCAGTGGGGGAGTAAGGGTCCAGGAGCAGTGGGGGAGTTAGGGTCCAGGCGCAGTGGGGGAGTTAGGGTCCAGGCACAGTGGGGGAGTTAGGGTCCAGGCGCAGTGGGGGAGTTAGGGTCCAGGCGCAGTGGGGGAGTAAGGGTCCAGGCGCAGTGGGGGAGTAAGGGTCCAGGTGCAGTGGGGGAGTTAGGGTCCAGGCGCAGTGGGGGAGTTAGGGTCCAGGCACAGTGGGGGAGGTAGGGTCCAGGGGCAGTGGGGGAGGTAGGGTCCAGGGGCAGTGGGGGAGTTAGGGTCCAGGCGCAGTGGGGGAGTTAGGGTCCAGGCGCAGTGGGGGAGTTAGGGTCCAGGCGCAGTGGGGGAGTAAGGGTCCAGAGGCAGTGGGGGAGTAAGGGTCCAGGCGTAGTGGGGGAGTTAGGGTCCAGGGGCAGTGGGGGAGTTAGGGTCCAGGCGTAGTGGGGGAGTAAGGGTCCAGGCGCAGAACCTCCTCACGGTTGTTTACAGGCAGCCACTGTGGACTTTAGAGCCTGAGCCTTGGAATCGGCCAGACTGGGTTTGAGGTGACTACGTGGCCTGCTAGCTGTGTCCCGAGGCAACCACTCTATCATCTGAGCTCACTCCTCATCTGCACATGGAAACAGTAGCGCCCGCATCACAGGGCCGCTGGTTCACCCCTCGAGCCTGTATCGGTGCTTACAGGGCCGGTCTGCTCTGTGCTGGAGACAGCAGTGAACAGAAGTGCCCGCCACCCTCATGGAGTTCATGGTCTCCTGTGGTGGGGCGGGGGCTCGACAATAAACAACCACACAAGGGAATGTGCAGGGTGGCTGGGCATGGCATAGGGAACTAGAAAGCAGGGTAAGGGAGACGGGCAGTGATGGGGGAGAGGGGGTGGTCAGGGGAGAAACCATTTAAGAGAAACCTGGCAGAGGGCGGGAGTGAACTTCCCAGCCAGCAGAAACCATGGACGCAAAGGCCCTGCGGCCAGAGCATATCTTCTGTGTTCCATGAGCAGCCGGAGACCCGGGTCAGGAACAGTGGTAAGGGGAGCGTGTGGGTGAAGACCCTGAAGAGAGCCGTGGGTCCTAGTGAGGACCTCAGCTTTGTTTCCAAGCGGGCAGAACGGACCATGAGGTTCTGAGCGGAAGTGTGCAGGATCTAACCGGCTTTGAGCGGTCACCCTGGCGGCGCTGCAGAGAATGGACCGGGAGCAGGGCTAACCTCAGACAGGGTTAGGATGCTGTTGCAGTGGTCTAGTGAGAGGGTGGGGCAGGGAGGAGGTGTGAGAACTGGTCATGTGCTCTGAAGGCAGAGGCCCCCGGATTGGCTGGCAGATTGGGTTGTGGTGCGAGAGGAGAGTGAGGAGGGGCAAAGGAGATACAGAGGTGTGAAATGGTTCGCCAAGGGTAGCCTCTCAATGCTAACTTCCAACATGCTTACATTTTAAGAAACTGAGACTGGAAAGATGAGTTGATGTGTTCAAGGTCACACACAGCAATTAGACAAAGCAGATAATAGAAGCCAGGTCCCATTCAGGCAACAACTGGGTGTAACCCTGGGCCCTAGTGGGCCAGTTTCCTTACTTGTGCCCTTGTACCTGGAGTCCAGCCCCACCCCCAATAGGGAACTATGCACAATCCTCTTCCCACCTCACAAGAGCCCCATCTCTCAATCTCCTTCTCCCCCTAACCCATGAATCAATGAGCTCAGAAGAGTTAGTGAGCTAGAATGACATAATACATCAGACCTCTCGGACAGTGATCTGGGGACAGCTGGCCAAAGCTAAGCTGGACTCCGTATTAACACAGGTCCCACCCCCTCGACCCACCCCAAGGCTTGTCCTAAATAACTTGAAGGGAGTTGGGCACTATTTTTTTTTTGCTTTACCCTGTGAGTAGGTGGTATTAACTACATGCAGTAAGTTGCAGGTTGCAATCTAAAATAAATTGCACATTATTGCAAAAAGCCACATGATTCTAGACCCTGATTTAGCAGGTCAGAGTACATCCCTAGGAGGCTGTGTTGCAAAGAAAGTTTTCCAAGTCGAATGGGAGGCATACTTTCCAGATTGGTGATTAAAGAAAATGTGTGGGCTAGAATCAGCTTGGAAGACTTGAATAACTTAAACCTTCCAGTACCTTCAAAGGTGCTATCATTTCCACTTGGCTATATTTAGCTTTCTCTGCTTTTTGGAAAAGAGATGAGGCAGCTCCAGTCTGTGTCTCCCTTGGCTTTCCCCAGACACCGTAAATGATATTGGCAGGACCCCAGCTCCATCACTCACAGAATGAAAATCTATTCTTCTTCTCTTGCCACATTTAATAAACTTATCTAGAACAATTTCTTGTGCAGTGGCAAAACACAGCACTTATGTAACATACTATTTCAGGAGCACTGTTCTCTGGGGCTGGGAGCACAGCCCCGTCTCCTTGGTGCTGTGATTGGGAGAATGCTCTGCCTCCGGAGGAAGGGGTCCTGATGCTGGCAGTGTGAAGGCAGCAGGAGCCTCTGCAAAGACTGCGGGAGAGAAGTCAGGCATGTCTCACCAGCCCAAAGGAGCCCCCTAGAAATGCAGCCCCCTACTAGAGGTAGCTAGAGGCAAAAATGCATGTTCTTCAAGGCCGTCATTTTGCCACTCCATCCGTCCAGATCTGGGGACGTGAAAAGCAGGCCCCAGGTGCTCATCTGTGGTTGCATCTAACTGAGGGACAGTCATGCACCTGGACAATTCATGGCTGGGAGAGCAATGGAGAAAGGGGAGTCCAGGCTCAGGCCAAAGGAAGGCAACATGGTTGGGTCATTCGAAAATGCAGACTTCAAGGCCAGGTCATAATTCAGAAGGCCGGCTCTGAATGGACTAGGACTGCCCAGGAGTCCGTCCGAGGGGTCTGGCACTTGCCTAGGATGGACCGACACCTTCTAATAACTCTGCACAGCCCACAGCCGAGTTGCTCAGCAGGGGCGCCGCTGATGTTCCAGGCTGGGCTGTCCTGTGCATTGTAGGGGGCTTAGCAGCATCCTTGGCCTCTGTCCACTGGGTGCCAGTAGCAACCCCTCATTCTCCCTAGTTCTGGGAACCCAAATATCTCCAGACACTGCCAAATATCCCCCAGAGGGGGCCAAAATCGCCCCCAGTAGACAACCATTGATCTAGAACGACCAGCCTTTCCAGTTTGCCAGGAATTGAGTAGGCTCGGAACTTTCCATTTTAAAACTGAGACTGTCTGAAGTCCACCCAAACTCTGCCCTAACGTTGCTACTTCTGATGCTAAAACCTCCTGTCACTGGGAGCTTTGCAAACCTGCAAAGCCATCATTTGGGCATCAGAGTCAAGGGCAGACCCTGACCCAGTGGGTGGGGTCGCAGAATCTGCCTCTAACAAGCCCCGGGTGATGGTGTCTGCTGGGCCTCAGGCCACACGCGAGCAGCAGGGCCTGGGCTGGAGAGGCCACCCTTGCCGCTGGGACCACGGCCTTGTCAGCTGACTCTGCGGAGCCCCGGTGACGGGCCTGCTCCCCAGCCCTGGCTGCACACTAGAGTTTACTTCCGCACTTAAAACAATGCCCAGGCCCCCAAACCCAAGATTCTGATTTAATTGGTCTGGGTGGGGTCCAGCAGGGCAGATTCTTAAATATCCCCAAGTGACCGTGAAGTGGAGGGGAGACGGAGCAGGCGCAGTCTGTGAGGAGCTCCGGAGCAGGGGCTAGTGCCCCCCCTGTGCTTGGCCTTCAGCGCTGCTCCTTCCTGGTCTCAGGGCTCCTTCCTGGTCTCAGGGCTCCTTCCTGGTCTCAGGGCTCCTTCCTGGTCTCAGGGCTCCTTCCTGGTCTCAGCAGGGCTCCTTCCTGGCCGCAGGTGGCAGGGCTCCTTCCTGGGCGCGGGTGGCAGGGCTCCTTCCTGGCCGCGGGTGGCAGGGCTGTCTGGAGCCACCGTCTGCACTCAAGGCCATCCACCATGGCAGTTATGTCCTTTAATGACGGTCACGAGAAGGAGGGATCTTGGGCAAAGGCCGACACGGCTGGAAACAGTGTGGAGACGCTGGATTCCCTGCGCGCTGACAGAGCCTCGCTCTGTGCGGGGTGCAGGCGTGAGTCACCCACTTCCCTGCTGGGGGGCTGGCTGACCCGCCACACCGGGGCCAGGTTGGGCCTTTGCTCTCCAGAAGCCTGTGCCGGGGGAGTGAGGGACGGAGCAGCGGGCGGTGCCGCCACTCAGAGCCTCGTTGCCACGGCCGGAGCCACGGGACAGAACCCCGGCCCCCAGCCCGAGGGGAGCAGAGGGAGCCAGCACCCTGCTCGCCCTCCAGATGGCATCCGAAGCTCACCCCCGTGACCTGAGGGGACACGCTTGGGGCACAGAGGTCTTTTAAGTGGCAAATACGAGAGGAGTGGGAAAGTTGAATGCCTCTGGTGAAAAGTGGTTTCAACGGCTTCTTTCTCTTCAGTAGAAAATCATGTCAGATCAATGCAGAAAACGCTGGAAAGAAGGTGGAGCACAAGGGCACACAGGTTGGGGTGATTGGCAGTCTGCTCCCTGTGGCCCCACCCGCGGGAGGTGCTTCTTGTTGCAAAGGGGCGGGCATAGGGGACGGTGTCCTTGGCCCGCACCACCCACCTCTGCCACTTGGGACTGCCCTACCCAAGTCCAGACAGCCCCGTTAAACCCCTTGGGCCTTGGTTCTAAACCGCGAGAGCAGTTTGAAAATTTGACACATTCTCTCTACGAAGACTTTACCGAATATTAAATTTCCAGCACATTCTTTCTCACCCAGCAGCAGGAGAGCTTCTCCCTGACTGACTGTTCCCCTGCCTCCCTCACCGATGCTGGGTGCCCGGGGTGCTGTGTGGATGTAGAAAAGAAGGGGCATGTGGGAAAAGGGCAGCCGGTCCTGTCTCAGGCTTTGATCCACGGTGTGTTTGTCTCCCTCTGCCAGTCAAGAAGGAGGAGGTGCTGGTCAGAGCCGGCGAGTACATGGGCCAGCTGCTGGAGCAGGCGTCTCTGCACTTCTTTGTCACCGCTCGTGTCGAAGAGACCAGGGACATTCTGGCCAAGCAGAAGTCCACTGTGCTGACCATCCCCAAGGTCATCATCAAGGTCAGTTTTAGCATTTCAGACCAGGGAGAACAGCAAGGTTGATGATTGGTTATTCAGGCTTACTGTGTTTTACTGTGTGTGTGTGTGTCCTACTCAAAAAAAAAGAAATTTGAGCTCAGATCCTCCTATTCTTTGAAAGAAGTAAACCACCCTATATATAGACACGCACATATAACACTTTTCTCTCCTCTCCAGATTTAAATGCATAGCTCTGGCTGCAGATATAAATATAACCTGTAGGTATGCGCACACTTGTGGAGGAAGATGAAGATGTGTAATGGACACATATACTTAGAACTCCCACTGCCTGCAGCTTGAGGTGGAAACACGGGGGTCATCTCGCACCTGCGGCTCGGACAGCACTGTTGCTCTCTGAGCTACAGCTGCATACAGTAGAATGCACACTGAAATGTCAGCTTGATGACAATGACTTTTCGTATGTGTTCGCCCTGCAACTGCCAGCCAGATGGAGATGCAGAGGCCCCAACACCCCAGAAAGTTCCTTGTGCCTTTTCTAGTGAATAACCCCTCCCCACCACCAAGGTGACCACTTCTCTGACTTTTGTCACCACGGGTTTTTTGGGCCCACTTGGCTGCTCGTCTTAACATTGTCCTCCCGTTTAGCACCAGCAATCTGTGCCAGAGGAACTTGGCAGAGGAGGGCTGAGTGCGGCAGCCTGCTTGGTCCGCATCTCAGGAGCCTGGCGGCGCGGGGAGACACGCCCCTGCCCTGTGAGCCTGCAGCCAGGTCCCGGGCTGTGGCCCCTCCTGCCCTCCTCCCAGGGCTTGAAGACCTTCCAGGTAGCAGGAGAGCATTTTTCTTTAAAGTCGTCAAGAACAATTAGCACAGCCCTGGCCTGTCAGTGGTTAGAGTGTCCACCCTCGGACCAATGAGTCGCGGGTTCGATTCTGGTCAAGAGCACGTGCCTCAGTTGTGGTTCGTCCCTGTCGGGGTCATGTGGCAGGAGGCAACCAGTCGATGTGTCTTTCTTATATCGGTGTTTCTCTCTCTCCCTCCCTCCCACTCTATCTGATGATAAATAGAAAAAAAAATATCTTCAGGTGATGATTAAATAAAAAGAGTGATTAGTATAGATGGTAGGTTGCATTTCTCTAAAGTGATAGACAAATCAAAGTTTTAAAAATGTTTCATATTTTATTCATTTATTTATTTATTTTAATTAATTTATTTTTAATACAGATGTCCCTCCTTTAAAAGTTCTCAAATTTTAAATGTCCCAGAGCTGGGGAGAGGGGCTAGGAAGAGGGAGCTGCGCCCTGGGTCTTATACTTCTCTGTGGATCTTGTAAAGCTAACAATTGTGCAGCATTCAAAAGGGCAGCCTCTCGGGTCTTGCGCCATGTGGACAGCACCTGGGGGCCAGGCTCCTCCAAACACAGGCATGGAGTGCCCACCGGGGACACGAACCCCAGGCCCTTCGTGTCTAGAAAGGCCTCCGTCAGCACCTCTGGCCGGTCACTTCGCGCGGTGGCCCCCGCAGGCGCACGGGAGCGCCATCGGCACAGGGGCCTGAGGAGACAGTATGAAGGAGGACGCGCGGGGTCTGCAGGCAGAGAGGAAACAGAGGCAAAATGGGAAGGGTGCTGGCGTCCCTCCAGAGGTGCGTCGGTCCCGTGGAAGCATGAATTCCACTGTGCGACTCCACAGAGCCTGCCCACAGCCCCCAAACGGCAGGCTGCCCTCCCTGGGAGACACGGGGGTGCCCGGCAGGCCCCTCGCGGCTGCACCCCTATCCTCTGCCGCCAGAGGCAAGGCCGACGTGCTCTCCCCAGTGCTGAGGCGACAGCTGGTCCCCGGGAAGGCCGGGAGAGAACCCTCGCAAGCTGTGCCCTGCTCAAACCACAGCATGAAATAGAATTTAATTGCACTGTTGATAACAAACTGGATGTATAAAAGAAACTAATAACTTTCATCATTTAGACATTATTAATGTGAAGGATTATTCGTTATTATCTTCTGGGTTTACGTAAAGAGCAGTTCCACTCCCCGGGGAAGAATCAAAGCACCATCTCCAGCAGCCGAGCGAGCCGGGGGGCGGGCGCGCTTTTTGAAAAGCTGTGCTGTTGGTTTTTCACTTCCATTAAGTATCAGAGAGGCTGTTCCGGGAGGAATCTCGTTTTAGGGGCAGGACAGTTTGATTGGGGCGGAGGCACGAGAGAAGTGGAAAGTGTGGCTTCTGTCCAGGGCCAAGATTGTCCAGGAGAAGAGGCAGGAGGCAGCCTCAGGTGGACTGCCCCTTAACCACTAACCATGGACCACATCAACCTCAAGAGCAAACTGATGCTGAGCAGGGGAGAGGTTTCCCGGGCAAAGCACCTCGTGTCGGCAGAGCCACCCAGGTGTCCTGCGCTGTGAGGTACGGTTCCAGAAACTCTGGCTGATGGACTGGGCACCCGGAGGCTGCTCAGCCGGCTGGACGTATGAATACAGTCCTGGCGTCCAGACGGCAGTCTTCATCCTGAAAGTGACCAGGAGGGAAAGAGATGCAGAGAAAGGGGGGGATGGGGAGAAGAGAAAAGAGGAGGCAAGGGGAAGGAGGAGAGGAAGGAGGAAGGAAAGCAAGGAGGAGAGGAGCGGGGGTGGGGAGACATGACCTTGAAGTACTGCACAGCGGACCTTAGGGAGAGGAGGCAAATACATTGAATGAAGCAGGACTCAAGGGGGAGCTGAATGCAGTAAAGGGACAAAAACAAAAGCACAGTGGCTCAGAGGTCCAGGACCGCCTAGGACACATCCCCAGATTCTAGGAAAATGCTAGAAATCTTTGTCATTCTCTGGGCCTGGCATGGCTCCACAGCTGACAGAGCCTTCCAGGCCCAGGGAGATGAAAGCCAAGGGTTAGGAGGACATGACCCTTGTGCTCAGCTCATGGGATGCAGGAGGGAAGAGACCAGAATACAGCGATGACAGTGACGGTGCCGATCACTGTTGAGCTCCGTGTTATCACACTTCTCTCGTAGTACCTTATTGAATCGTCAGTGCCATTTTATGAGGTGGCTATTATTGAAACCCACTTTACAGATGAGAAAGCTGGGGCCTGACAGGGTAGTCCCTGTGACATTGTGGTTAAAACATGGGCTTTGAGACCAAACTATCTGAGTTCAAAGCCTGTTTTCTCAACATAATAACTGTGACCCTGGACACATCACTTGTCTTTCTTAGCATCTTTTTCTCATCGGTAAAAGAGAAATAATGGCAATACTTACTTCATAGGGTTGTTGTGAGCATACAATGAGTTAATGGTTACCTCAGCCCAATTCAGAGTCAATTGCAAGTATATGTTGGTTGCTGTTATTATTGTCATTAGTACTGTTCATAAGCAACTCACCAGTGAGCAGGTGCCTACTAAGGGAAGGAGTGAAGCTTCCAACCCAGGTCTTTCTGACTCAGACGTCTGTGCAGACAGCCTCTGGGCTACGTTGCTGTCACAGCGGGCGGAAGATGGTGACTGCCTTCGCAGACAGGGGCTTTTCAAGGGGAAGAGGTCACACGAGTTTGGTTGAAGTGGGGTATCAACGATCAAGGCTGTGGAGCAATAGATGATCCTCAATGAATGGACAGCATGTCCAGCCGTGGAGATGGATGGAGACCATTCCAGACCCTGGGGGACAGACACAGTCAAGGGCAGGAGAGAGGGAGATGGCAGGTGAGGGGAGCCTGCTTTGGTTGGAGTCGAGGCTGGGAGCCGGGTACTAGTAGTGACAAATGTAGAAAGGCAGCCTGGGGCCATTTTAAGGTGAGCCTACAATTTCTGGATGAGAGCTTTACAACTGAGTATGAACACGGCTTCAACGAAGATTCTAGAGCATAAAGGTAACATTATTGTCAACGCCCCTCCCAAGAGTCAGAATCTCTTTTCGTTCTCCTCAAAGCCCTTGCCCGAGTCACTGTCTTATTCTGGGGTCCCCCCTCCGGCTTAGGACAGGAGTTTCCTGGCAGCAAGTTTGCAGCTGTTCTTAACTAGCCCCCTTTTTAGAGCAAATAGAAGCCAACCTGGAACAAGAGTGAGCCCAACTGTCTGAATCCACGAGTGGGAATCCACAGGTGGGATTCAGACACCTCTCGAGCCAAGCAGCTGGCCGGTGGTCCTCACCCGTGGCCCTGGTCCCGGGCCGCACCCTCCCCATCAGGCTGCGCTAACTGTTCCTGCCACTCAGCAGGCATGAGTCACAGTGTGTGATCCCCATATGGAGAATGGCAGGGAGAGACGTTCATTAAACTTTAATGAGCACACGTCTCTTTTTCCATACTATCAAAATATTTTGATGAGAAAAGTATATTTTATTAAAAGCAGACATAGAATTTTTCTCTGCCTTCTCATGTTTTGATGGTTGTAAGATGCTTTAAGTCAGAAAAAGACTCTTAGGCATTTTTATTTTTAATGAACAGCTATTTTTAGGAGAGGATGGAGGCAATGGGGGGAATTCAGCTGGTCTCCAGGCTGCAGGCTGGGTTTTCTGGAATCTGCGGTGTGTGGTGTGGGAACAGCACGCTGGCGGGACTCTCCCACTGTCAGTCAGCACTGAAGGTTTCGCACGTTTAACATTCTCACCCGAGTCAACTAGAACGAGAACACCAGGAGGGACACCTGGAGCCCCCTTTATACAGCTGCAGAATAGCACAGTGGCTTACGATGGCTGCAGTCTGACCACCGGGGTTCATAATCCCCCCTGGGTTGCTTTGGGCAAATTACTCAACCACCTCAGAATAAAATGTCTCCAATAATAGTACTGACCTCGTTAGATTCTGGGAGGGGGGAGGGGTCACTAAAGTAATTTACATAAAGAGCATAGCATGGCACTTTGACCATAGTAAGTCCTCAGTGAAGGCCATGTCTGTTAGCTTCCAGCACACATGCCTAGCCTCCAGGTTCTTTCTCGCCTTCCATCTTTCTCCTCCTCCTCCTCCTCCTCCTTTTCTCTCTCCCTCTCCCTCCCTCTCTCTCCCTAACACACACACCCACTCTCTCTCTGAAATTC